ATATTTGTCTTGAACTGAGACATTGGGATCAACTTTATATACTGGCTAGAAATAAGCTTCAAAAAAATCCAGATGATTGGAGCTCGTGGAAGTCGTTGCTTCAACTTTTGTACACAGAAAATGGTCCTTTACGACAGCTGGATCTTGAAAGGTAGTTTCTTATTTTGTCGCTAATATCTCATTTAGAGCTGGGCTTGTCGATGCCCTCATAAAATCGATAATTAGGCTGTGGCCACAGGCGAGAGGACCGCAATTAGCTCGTCTCGATTTATACGGTAATTTGCTGCTAGTTAAATCGGAGATTGCCCCTTCCAAAGACATAGTCGTTGAAAGTCTAAAATCTTTCCTTCAAGCTTTCGATTCTAAGCCAGTGTGTCCTTATGATATCGCTTATTTGCTTCCCATCCTTCTTCCCCATGATGAGGACCGCTGCAAAGTAAGTACACCTTTCATATTATGGTTGCTTTATCTAAGTGGTTTGCTTTACTTATTTACTTACTTATTTTAGTTTGTAAGGGACCTTGTCCTCACTGCCAAGGCTTGTGTAAATACAGTAAGTTGCCTACAATTTTTAAACTAGCCTCACTTGCGTTTTATTATACTATATTAATCATTTTTTGTCTTTTAATATTGAATTCTAGTCAACGAGAGGTGATGCTAAAATAATCTATCGTTGCTTATGTGCCTTCAACATAGCCCGAGCTAATAATATCCTTGAACCTTTGGTCACCATCACTGATCTTCTACATTATACATTTTATCATTCGGCCGATAGTTCTCTCAATACTCTCACAAATAAGCCTAGCTATTTGGAAACTCTAAAAAAAGATAACGAAACCAAATGGCCAATTGAAGAAAAACCAATGGAACTGATGCCCCAAGATGGATTCCTTCTTTTGGCAACCTCGCTTTTGCTTGATCTCCTCAAAAGACTACTATGTAAGCCGTTTGAAATATAGTAGTGGCGAGTGCTAATTGATCATCGTAAATTTCTAGGTTTATTATGAGTTGTTTCATTTTCTTAAAGCTTTAGACTGGCTCGGAGTCACTATTATCTGTCTACACTGGATAAAGAAAATTGGACTAGCTTACAGTCCTTCGAATCACCATCTTCGTCTTCGCCTCTTACATCTTCTATCTCCCGGGGGAGGTCTTATTTGTCCCCAGCTTGTTAT